CCCCAAAACCCCAAAACCCCAAAACCCCAAAACCCCTGGCTCTTAAATTTATCTTGACTTGTTATAATATTTAAACTGCAATGGAGAGTCAAGGGAATAGCAAGAACTGTTCGGAACACTTCAACGAAGACCTCAAAGGGTTCTGCAAAGACTGATTTGCTGGTATTTGTTTCAGGTGAGCCATCGGCAAGCACAGAAACCATAATATCGTCATGCTTGACGAGATTGACGGTGGAGACTTGAGTACCCAAATAGATCTTTTTGACAACAAACTGTCGAGCATCCGAGACAAAGCCAACAATTTGCTTGAAAAAGCCCGAAGATTTGACTCGCATCACGACAGACTCCCTGACATTCTGTCCAAATTCAGAGAAATCATCGAGAAATTTGAGTCTGGGGTTTACAAGAAAATGATTGTCGGAGAACTTGAGAAGAACTACATGCAAGTCAATGAAATGGCAGACAAACTAGCAATCGAGCAAAGTGAAGACACGAGGATCTTCAAAATGCCAATTCTTGATTCAGAAAACAACGATGAGCTCGACATCAAGGACTTTGAATACATAAGTAGTATTATTGATGATAGGCGAGTCCTTATCATGAAATATGAGCAAAATCTAAAAATTCAGAAAACTCTCATAGCTGAGTATAATCATATCGACATTGATGAACATATCATCGAGTTCTTTCAGAGTCTGTTCATTGTCAAGAAGAAGCTTACTGACAGAAGGATCATCCACTACTTCGAGTGGGGGAACAAGAACATTCACTTCTATGATGTGGTCAACCACAAGCAGACCAAGTATTTGGTTGACTTCGACAAGTACATCCCGAAGTTCTGCAGGACAGTTGTGACAGATCACGGCAGACTCTTCTGCATTGCTGGCAGACACCAAGACAACATGTGCTGCAACTGGATGCTTGAGTACATCGAAGAGAAGAAGTGACTCGAACACAGAGCTGTCTTGAACGACCCCAGAAGTGACTTCACTGCCATTTATGACGGAGAAATGGACAGAATTTATGCCATCGGAGGCAATGACGCTAAGAACTTCTACACCAACTGCGAATACTACGATGTAAACGAAGACAAGTGGGTTAGAATCGCAAATCTCAATGTGGCCAGAGACTCTGCAGCCTGCTGCATTTTCAACAGCAGGTACATCTATGTGTTCTCAGGTCGAATCAAGTTCAACCCTAAAGAAATTACAGATGTCTGCGAAATGTATGACATCGAGAAGAAGAACTGGGAAATCATCAGTCTGAACAAGAAAAACAGATGGGTCCCTTGTGATCTCGCAATGTGCTACCAGATAAGTCCTACCAACATTTTGATATTCGGAGGATTCGATAGACAGAATAGAACCAACGCAACGTTTGTGTTCAACACATCTAAGAACACAATTGAGAGAGCCTCAGATTTGCCCACAGTCGGAAGTTTCTCAACAATGGTGTTCCATATAGAAGACAAGGTAAGTCTACAATCTCATTTTGACTATTTAAACTGGCTGCTTGCTAAGCTGTTTGCTCATGATTTTGCTATAGAACCTCTACACAGTCGGATGGAACAACACCAAGAAAAATTTGTACAAATACTCGATCTCAGAAGGGCTTTGGTCTCTAGATGAGGACTTCACAATTTAGTCTTTGTAATACTTCTATATGTTGAGTTTATTCAATTTTTATTGACAATTAAGGGGTTTTGGGGTTTTGGGGTTTTGGGGTTTTGGGG